AACGGTGAATTGATTGATTGACTTTCAATAGCTTTGAGAATGAAATTATAATTAGTCCAACTTGTTTTGTATTTTTATACCCTATTAGTCTTGTTATGCATGATTCATCAGTGCACATTATTATAACAAAAACAAAGAAGAACTACTTTGGTGTACTACTGATGTAACAAAGGCTAAATGGGCGGGGAAAACATTAACCAATAATATCATGGCTAAACGTTCACAATCCAATAATTTCTCTTTTCCGATGTGATTGAAAGTTAAATGTGTTGAGACTGCAAACCCAATGTAAAACGCACTTGGACCCTTGTCTATATGTTTTTTTTTTGGTCAAAAGATTGAATTTAGAGAGTGGAGTTTCCTGCTTGTTGCTGACAGGGGCACAAACAGAGAAAACAGCAGGCCACTGTGCTGTGAATGAACTTTATATTACCTCTATATATCATCCAGCCACTGATGGATACCAGCGCCCCAGAGAAAACGCCCAAAGATACTGATCTGAGAGCAGTTTACTGTTTCACTTATAACGGCAGGTGTTAAACATTAAGGGAGGACTCTGGTCTCAGAACGGTGCTTGAGGATGGGTTGTTTCGAGAGGTTTGGACTCACTTGGGGAACCAGGAGTGAATTTATTAGAAAAGAGAGGTCAGGCCACCTGCGGTTATATACAGTCACTCACACTTTTCATCATTATGTTTTATGTGTTTCAGAACGATGTTGAATTTGACGCACATTCTCTTATCTACAAAGTCCTAAAGGCAGGAGGTTATCGGATATGGGCATAATATACTGAATATACTGTATGTTTTTTTTAATTTTGCTTTTATTTTTTGTAATTGATTCATTTTTATAATTGATCCATCCATCATCCATCCATGATATATTAGTATACTATATCCATCCATCCATCCATCCATCCATCCATCCATCCATGATATATTAGTATACTATATCCATCCATCCATCCATCCATCCATCCATGATATATTAGTATACTATATCCATCCATCCATCCATCCATCCATCCATCCATCCATCCATCCATCCATCCATCCATCCATCCATCCATCCATCCATCCATCCATCCATCCATCCATCCATCCATCCACCCATCCATGATATATTAGTATACTATATCCATCCATCCATCCATCCATCCATGATATATTAGTATACTATATCCATCCATCCATCCATCCATCCATCCATCCATCCATCCATCCATCCATCCATCCATCCATCCATCCATCCATCCATCCATCCATCCATCCATCCATCCATCCATCCATCCATCCATCCATCCATCCATCCATCCATCCATCCATCCATCCATCCATCCATCCATCCATCCATCCATCCATCCATCCATCCATCCATCCATCCATCCATGATATATTAGTATACTATATCCATCCATCCATCCATCCATCCATGATATATTAGTATACTATATCCATCCATCCATCCATCCATCCATCCATCCATCCATCCATCCATCCATCCATCCATCCATCCATCCATCCATCCATCCATCCATCCATCCATCCATCCATCCATCCATCCATCCATCCATCCATCCATCCATCCATCCATCCATCCATCCATCCATCCATCCATCCATCCATCCATCCATCCATCCATCCATCCATCCATCCATCCATCCATCCATCCATCCATCCATCCATCCATCCATCCATCCATCCATCCATCCATCCATCCATCCATCCATCCATCCATCCATCCATCCATCCATCCATCCATCCATCCATCCATCCATCCATCCATCCATCCATCCATCCATCCATCCATCCATCCATCCATCCATCCATCCATCCATCCATCCATCCATCCATCCATCCATCCATCCATCCATCCATCCATCCATCCATCCATCCATCCATCCATCCATCCATCCATCCATCCATCCATCCATCCATCCATCCATCCATCCATCCATCCATCCATCCATCCATCCATCCATCCATCCATCCATCCATCCATCCATCCATCCATCCATCCATCCATCCATCCATCCATCCATCCATCCATCCATCCATCCATCCATCCATCCATCCATCCATCCATCCATCCATCCATCCATCCATCCATCCATCCATCCATCCATCCATGATATATTAGTATACTATATCCATCCATCCATCCATAGAAGAACTAGTCAGTGGAAGTTTATTAGGTTCAAGCCCTCAAATCTTTATAAAGATATCAATATTTTTAGGCTTGTTTGAGATATTATAGTAGCATGTAATAAGAGAACACCATGAGCACACCTGTTTTTAAGGTATAACTCAAATTAGACAATTCTGAATTGCTTTTAAATGGCTGTTTAAATGGGCAGTTGTTCACCAGAATAAGCTGAAATGTAGACCTGACTTATATAGTTATAAGTATAGATACCGTACATGAGACAACTGGAGATGTGTTAGCCTCTCATATGATGCACAGCTGAACTAGTGGAAAAAAAAAAAACATAATTCTTCAAACATGATGCTGGATATGTTCTTTTTTGTGTCTCTAACAGAACTTTCAAACTTCTGGCCAAGCATTCAAGCAGGTTACGTCTGCAAACTTTTTTTATTGCTTCTCTGTGCCGAGTGACAGAAGCGCTACGATTTATTTTGTCATGCACTGAAGGGCAGATTACTGTATGGATAAATGGAAGGAGTGAAATAAATGAGTGTAAGGGAGGAAAAATGGATCTTAGAAAGGTGGAATGTGAACTGAGGGGTGATTTTTCTCGCACTGTATGAGGTGAGAACACACGGTGATGGTGATATAGGACCTCAGATTCAGAGGAATAAAGACTTGTGCATTATTAATAAGCAGATAATCTAAAAGGATGTGAGATGACAACGTCACCTGAAGCATTTTAAACTACCCGTGTGTCTAGAGAGAGAGAGAGAGAGAGAGAGAGAGAGAGAGAGAGAGAGAGAGAGAGAGATAGGTCATGCGTGTAGAAAAAGTGAATTTAGTGACCCCAAAATATATATGGACACTTAAGTCGCTCTTCATAATATCTTAATATGTGAATGGCAATGCATTAGAAACAAATGATGCTGGAATATTTTTGCTATGCCTTCTGGTGTGGAAGTGATTTTTAGTGGTTGTGTGAAGTCAGTTGGACATGTTACACTAATGTTCGACAACTAAACAGTGCCCAAATATCTTTGTCTTGATTATGAACAGTACATCTATTATTTTTAGCCCAACAAAGGCATTTTATTTTTGATTTTTTTGGTTGAAAAGTGTGCATTTGCCAAGATTCATTAAAATAATTGATGCTTTGTTTGACATTTGTAAAGAAATAACATGCATAGATTGTGTATGAAGTGTCCAAATACTTTTTTGGGGCCACAGTATATTTCTGTATTAAAGTGACAGTTTTTTATGTATTAATAGCCTGCTTAAAACAATAGTCTATATATAGCTGCTCCACAGTGGAAAATATATTCTTTTAGTGACACACTTAGAAACATACTTTTTCTTTTCAGTCTTTAAAATTTAGAAAGAAAAAAGAGAGATAGATAGACAATTAACGATAAGCACAAATGATAGACAGACAGATGTGAAAAATAAATGATATACAGACAGACAGATATGAAAAGAACAATAGACACAACTGACAGACAAACAGACAAATATTAAAACGACAATAGACACAAACAAAAATAAACGATAGACAAAAAGGATAGAAAGACAGACAGACCCATTTAAAAAATAATGGATAGAGGGAAAGATATGAACAAAAATGATAGACAGATATGAAAAAGAAACAAGACACAAACGATAGACGGACAGACAGACCGATATGAGAAGTATAGGATAGACAAACAGATATGAAAAACAAATGATAGACAGGTAAACAGACAAACATGAAAATAAACGATAGACAGACTGACTGACAGACATAAAAACAAATGAACCACAGACAGACAAATATGAAAAATATATCAACTATAGACAGACAGATAGGCATGAAAAACAAAAAAAAACGACAGACAGATAGACATGTAAAACATATAAACGATAGATAGATCAAATCTTCACAGAGCATCTCATTGAAACAGAAAAGCAAAGATTATGTGTTTGTTGATGAGTTTTCAGTGACTGGAGTCCTCAATGACCGATGACTTTTGCCTGGTTACATGTCCAGAAGAAAACATTTAAACACACACACACACACACACACACACACACACACACACACACACACACACACACACACACACACACACACACGTACAGAGAGCAGGATGTCAGGGCTAAGACACTGCAGTCATCATTTACAGGAATGTGGTGTGAAATCGCATACCTTTCGCTCTGTAAATGTACAGAATATATACTGCAAGAATAGACCTCCAGAACACACACTATACAAGATTTACATTTAAAGACGCACCCGTGTATTACATTACTTTCTTTATGCCGCTGATTACACTGTTCATTCCCACACGCTCATGAACACACGGTTACATAAGAGTAAATGTACCATCTGTCTGCAGTGCACCACACATTCTCATACATTCCTGAATGTTTAAACACCACAAATTTTTACCACCTGTCCACCAGAACACGCCATCTACAGCAGTGCCAAAACACACACGCACGTAGATACGGAGACTGTCACAATACATATTAGCCAAGAAAAGTACACTAACACAACTCAGCTTGTCTCCACTAACTCTTCAGGCCATGCTTCGCAGTGTGTGTGTGTATGTGTGTGACACAATGACTCAGGCTGTACACTGATGTGTTAACAGCTCTGTTGACCCTTTTAGGCATGTTATCATCACTCTGTCCGATCTGTTTCTGGTCTCTCTCTGTTAAACTATAGGCCTACTGCAATACTAGCTTATATAGTGTCTATAAATATAGATATTTTTTAAAACTTCAATGTAAAATAACACTGATGATCTGTTTATCAGTTAATATAATCATGCGTGTTAGTCATATCAATGACATAACCAGAAAGAATCTGGTACCTGAACATTGTGGCGTATTTGGACATTCTTCATGTTTCCTTATTTGCAGTCATTGGGTTGAGGTCAGAGCGAGGGACTTTAATGAAACCTTGTTCGCAGTCTGGAAGCGCTGCAGTCTCTGTGGCGAAATAGACTGTTTGTATATATTATTGATGATTTGTCCCCTGCCCTCTGTTTTAGTGCGGAGGAAAGCAGGTCAGCACCCGCAGGGCTGGCTGACTCATATTTCTGTTTCTTATTACACTCCCATTGCCATTCTTTCATTACTTTTTATTGCTTCTTTCTCGACTACAGAGAAGTCGCAATACTCTGAGACCTCACGCACCACCAGTTTTCTTTGTAGCTCGGTTACTTTTTTGAACTCCTAATGTCTCATATTTGTATCTGCGTATTGTTTTTCCCTGCAACTACTAAATGAAGCTGTTTGTTTGTTGCTTTTGATGAATAATCTCAAATGTGATTCATTACATAAATAGGGCATGGATTTAGTTGATCCTCGTGCCAAATCAGGTAAAGTGCATTTAAACCCCTGCTGTTTATTCATTCTTGTTTGTAATAACTGATCCTGCCCTGTGGTTTCGGCTATATTACATTACACTTAACGCCACCTTTTGTTTTTGATGATTATATGATGTTGAACAGCAGGACGTAGGGAAAGCGGAAGAGAGGTGTCCGCTACTGTTTTGACCCTGTGGTTTTGTAAAGTCTTGGCAGTATTTCAGCGCAGGGAAGTGGGTGTTACGGAAACAGGATTAAAACTGCTTGTTCTACGCCGCCGTTTAAGTGGGTGTTTAATCCACGGCTTTATGGACTCTCCGCACCGACGGGACATTTTTCTAGTACTCATTTGCAGAAGTGTTTAGCCCTCGACTGCTCTGCATCTGACTTCAGAATGGCAAAACTCTTTTTAAGAATGGCATTTTAGAAATGAAATATTTTTGTTGTTGTTTTGAAGGCAGCAAGAGAGGGGAAACCAGAGTTTTCCAAGTTTTCACACAATATATATTCAGTATAAAATAATAGTATATAAAGAACAGTATATAATAAAGTTTTTTTTAATCTATTTTGTTTTATTTCAGCTTTATTTCAGTTAACAAAAACATTCAATAACATTCCATTCATGATTTTGATTTTAATCTTAAAGCTTTAAAGCTTTTTTTAACAGTAGAAATGTTTAATTGTGTTGTAGCTGAGATGTATTCCTACACAGAAATAAATCTGAGAGATATTCACTATAAAAGTGTGACAATTAACCCCAGTTTCCTGTGTGATCTAATTCACATTGATTCTCAAAAGATGGAACATATTTAGAAACACTAACAAATCTATTAAGCAGAGTTTTATAAAGAGTCAATGTGCGATATGTTTCACTGAAAGTTGTTCCTCTCCTCATGCCAGTGTGATGTTTTCAGTTTTCTGAATTGTTCTACAGTGTTACTGTAGATCAATAAGGAAACATGTCAAAGAACACCTTTGCTGTTGTATAATTGGGAGACTGTTCATTGCTGTACAGTAGAGAGACAAATATTGATTACAATAAGCAAACCTGACAAAAGTCACATCTCACAGATTAATCTGAGTGGCATGTGCCCATGCAAAAAAAGATCCCGAACGCAATGGTAGTGTGTTGCTATACAGCTCACATATGTTTCTGACCGATTGTTATCATATGGTGGTTGCATACTGGCCAAAGTCTCTGCCCTATTTTACGATGCATGCGCATGGCACAAGTGCACTTAGGGCCCTTAACTTTAGCTAGTTAATTAACAGGAAAAATGGTCGACGCACCCAGCGCTTGGTCTAAAAGGGTTGTCCCAATTCTCTAAATGAGTAATGGGTGTGTTTTGGGCGTAACGTGCAATAAACCAATCAGAGTCTCATTTCCCATTCCCTTTAAAAGCCAGTTGTGCTCGCGGCATGGCATATTACTAATGCACCCTTTAAATGACCAAAAAAAATAAATACTGCGCCTTTGACTTTAGACAGGTTTAAGTTGGTCAATGGCGCAGTCCATTTCAGTTGCCTCAAAATAGCAATGGGCGCAAATGCATTTGCTATTTAAACAACGTGGCTCAGGACGTGAAAATGATAACTGCGTCGGGCTGAAACTAGCAAAAAAGACTTGCGTCGCGCCTGGCGCTGCATTGCGCCAAGTGTATGATAGGGCCCTCTATGTTTGGTCCCCAAACATTTTATTGTCCGCTTTAATGAGGATGAGACTACAGTAGATGTAACGTGTACTTCCTGCAAAGTGAACATCATTCATTGTGATGTCCTGCCTTATAAAACTTTGTGAGGCTCAGGTTAAGAGCATGTTTTCATTATCGTTCTCTTTACATTGTAAGGTAATATATACATAGTCACTGGCTTTCCTCTCTGTAGAGAGTTTGTGTATCTAAATCCATTCAGGCTTTGCATCATTGGTTTTAATGGAGGAAAGGGTGAGGTGAGCAGAACTCCCACTGCACTCCGGGTCACTCATAATTAGCTGGGCTGCCGCCCCAGGGCCACATAAAAACAGAGCCAGGTTACCTCAATCTTTTTCCATCCGGGCTAATCTTCTCCCAGTGGTGATTTTTAAACGTGTTCGGTGACCCCAGACAAAACACCCCCATAAACTACAAAGCAATATTCCAATGCACTCAAGCATTAAGTCCAAAGTTAATATATTTTTTTTCCAATTTGACTGAAGTTTTTTTTTTCTCTCTCCCCAACGTTCCACTCCAGCCCATTCCAAGCCATCACATTTTCCTGAAGGCAATAGCGGCTATCTGATGAAAGCATTAAGTTGAATTTTTGTAACATTACATGGTCTAAAAAAGTAAAAAAAGAAGACAAGACAAGATAACGGGGAAAGCTGAAAATGCCTTTAAAGCAATTTTACTGGCAGTTAGAATCTCTGAGTATGAATTTACACATTTTAAATGTTCCTCACTGACATGTTTGAAGTTCCCTTCCTTTCATTGCACGTGAGAAATGCACTTGATCATTATTAGCACGCTGTTTACTCGGCTAATAATAATTGATAGTGTCAAAGCCTCAGAGGAAAATGGCTAATGAGGGTCTTTAAAGGAACATTGTGTCTGTGACATCTTTCATGGATCATGGCGCCTAACGCTGATACATTAAGTGCTAAGGAGATGTCTTGTTTTGCATTTGCAATCATTTGCTGCCCAGGAGATTGAGGGACACTTAAAAGAGAGAGCGAGAGTAGAGAAAGACATTTATTTGACGCTGACATGAGTTGCGTTTATTTGACGCAACACATGAGACGGATTGCGTTCAGTGGTTGTGAAAACATGGGCGGATTTCATATAGAAGGTCACTGATTCAGAGCCAGCATTGTAAGCTTTTACATACGAGGCACTGTACACCTTCACAGTGGATTAATTGACTCGTCGAAGTTATTAACTTCACACATTCGGGCCCTTGAAATAGCAGTCAAGGGGAAGCAGCGCACGCTGACTCCGGCAAACATAAAACCTCTCAGGTTGTTCAATCAGAGTGTTAATTAATTCAGCTTCTGTTATCTGGTCACCTTTGGGTGAATGTCTTTCTGTGAATATTCAAGGAATAGTTTGTTGTTGTTCTGGTGTAAATTAGAGTTTTGCTTGAGCTGTTTCCAAGCTTTTCCTTTTGATGTGGTGTATAATGTGGAAAAACTATAGGGATGCGCCAATATAACAATTCCAGCTGGTACTGATAAGCCAATTAAGGATTTTCATGTTTTTTTGCCAATATATGTATACATTGGCACTAAAACATGAACATCATTATGTAGGTATGTAGGGATCACAAGAGTGTCTTACTGCGATTTACATACCTTTGATCTTTAAAAAAAATAGTTTGATCTCTCAAGACATATTTGAATCATTATCTGACAGGTATTATATATATATATTATGTTTGATACTGCAGAACAATCACTTGCAGCAGCTTTAATGCCATTATATGTGTGCAGTTATGTTTCAGCACCTTGGACAGCAGCCCTTATACACATACATATGATCTTATAGCCTTGTCTGTAATGTTCTGGTCTTCGCTTAAGTGCTGCGACTTCTGAGTCTCTCTCTCTCTCTCTCTCTCTCTCTCTCTCTCTCTCTCTCTCTCTCTCTCTCTCTCTCTCTCTCTCTCTCTCTCTCTCTCTCTCTCTCTCTCTCTCTCTCTCTCTCTCTCTCTCTCTCTCTCTCTCTCTCTCTCTCTCTCTCTCTCATCCATTCATCCACTGGCCTCTCACATTCTGGCAGTGATGTCTTTTATGGTTATTATTGGAAGAGCTTTCTTTCAGAAGCTGACACAATGGCGTGAGTAGCCCCCTGGGAACGTTTTCATATCAAGGTTAACTTCAAGTGATTAGGATAAGCAGCTGAAGTTGTTGCCATGGGGATGATGATGGGATGCTGAGCTGTAAAGCATGATAAGTAGAGAGAGAGAGAGAGAGAGAGAGAGAGAGAGAGAGAGAGAGAGAGGGGTGTGATTGCTCCAAGGATCAGCAAGAATAGAGGTAGATGTGAATGGCCCTAAACTATGTGGGCGCATCAAACTGTGATTGTCTGCCTTCTATTTTTACATGACATGCATATAATAGTTCATTTATGTTCATGGTTGTCATGCAACCAAAAATAGGGCTCACTCCCTTTTTATATTTCTGAACTTTTTCAATCAAATTTGGAGGAGGGCAAAAAAGTTAATCTAGTGCGTTAAGCCTGAGCGTGTGCATCATGAACCTTTGAAGTGAATTTAGACTCCAGATATTTCTTACATTGGGCAAAAATTGGACCTCCAAATGAGCAGAAATGTTCTTTGTTAATTTTGATGTTTAATTAGAATAAGTTTGTTAGAGTTTTGTTTCCATTTTAGTTACCAAAAGTGTCTTGGTATCACATAATATTTGATATTATTGCATACATGGAAAATCCATGAATTAGTTTATCCCATGCATTAGGCAAATCGGTTTGGAATAAAACCACAATGTTACTCGTTATAATTACCACAGCCTTATTCAGTGCTTCCGAACCCAGTTTGAAATGTCAGCTTATCCTCTTGAAACTTGAACAAAAGCATTATAATTTGAACCGGCCCACAAAAATTTGCTGAAAAGGTCCTCCTGTACGTGCTAGCTCAGTAAGC